GTGTGCTACATTGGTTTTAGCTGTCAGTATAAAGTGTGCTGAAGCAAAAAGGAAAAAATAACCTCAGGCCACAGCTCAGTGGGAGAGTAGATGATTTGCAAGTAAAAGGTCCTTGGTTCCAGTGTTTGAAATTAGCCAGGTGCCAGGCGCGTTTTGCACCTGGTTATGGGCCACTTGCAACCAGGTGGAGATGCCCAGGTGCCAGGATGGTGCTTGACCTCTCCACCATCTGGGGATCATTGGATCTTGACTGTTTTTGTGCACTAATATGGCATCCTGTAGATTCTATCAGTTACCGTATTTTTCACTCTATAAGACGCACCAGACCACAAGACGCACCTAGTTTTTGGAGGAGGAAAACAAGAAAAAAAATATTCTGAATCTCAGAAGCCAGAACAGCAAGAGGGATCACTGTGCAGTGAAAGCAGCAATCCCTCTTGCTGTTGTGGCTTCTGAGATAGCTGTGCAGCCTGCATTCGCTCCATAAGACGCACACACATTTCCCCTTACTTTTTAGGAGGGAAAAAGTGAGTCTTATAGAGCAAAAATACGGTATATTTCATCTGCACGAACTGAATCAATTTCAGGAAGCAAAATGCTTTTTCTGTGCAGCCTAAGCAGGAGCAGCGAACAACAGTAAAGCGAATTGTTGGCTCTTGCCTTTGCTTGCCCTACCCTACTGCCCTGATCGCAGTTGTGAATAATATTCTTACGTTATGAATGGTCCATGTCGCCATTAAGAAAATGAGGTCTGAATAAAGGTAAAGGGACCCCTGACCATTAGGTCCAGTCGTGACCGGCTCTGGGGTTGCGGCTCTCATCTCGCTTTACTGGCCGAGGGAGCCGGTGTACAGCATGACTAGGCTGCTTCTGGTGAACCAGAGCAGCGCACAGAAACGCCGTTTACCTTCCCGCCAGAGCAGTACCTATTTATCTACTTGCACTGCATGCTTTCGTTGGCAGGTCTGAACAGGCCAATATATATGTGGACTGTCCCTGGATCAAGTGACTTTTCTTCTTTAAGTTCTCAGAGTTCTTAACCTAGCTCAAGGTTGTCATCTGAACTAGCCAAATAATCAATCCAAAATCAGACTTGGGAGCAGTATTGCTCCCAAATGGCAACTAGATGTTCCATTTTGGTTTAAGGAGTCATTTGGCACCTAGCTTATTTATCTGAGTTTCTTAAATGGCTTGGTTCTGTCCCCAGGATCTCCAGTTAGAGAAAGACCTCCCTCCCCGTCTGACACTCTGGAGAGCCATTGCCAGTGGATACAATACTGAGCAAAAGGGACCAGTGGTCTGACTCAGCTTCTGATGCTTCTAACCTGGCCCTGCAAATGGAACGTAGGAATCCTGGGTCTGCCTATTTTCTTTCTCCCAATATTTGAGAAGCAGGAGCTATGTTGCAGCAGTGCAGGCTTTTCCCTGGATGAATCCCCGCTAACATTTCAAGGTGTGGTACAGTAACACAAGGAACACCATCATCTGCTTGCTCCTCTGTGCAAGTTTCAAAAGTGGCTACAGGATTAGTGCAAATGATCAAATCAGAAGAGCCTGGAGCTGATTCAGACAGCTCTTGGTGCAACTAAGGGTGTATCCTTCAGGGGACCGGAAAATGGCATGTCTCCCACCTATGTTCTGACAGTTATTCAGTCAACGAAGAGCCAAATCGTTGATCAGAGGATCTAGAATGCTTGCTTTGCAAAATCTGCAGGAAGGATCAGGTTTCATGGACAGCAGGTTATATAGATTACAATCCTAAGCATTTTCATTTCTGCAAAAGTCCCATTCAAATCAACTTGGCAAGCAGATATTATTAGATGCAGATTTCTAGCACGTCAGGATTATTACCCTATGTTTATGCCTTGTCTGTTTCCCTTTCATTTACCCTAGCATAGGTAAGGTAAAAGTGCCCCTTCTGCACCTGTGATTGAAAATTATCCTACAACATTATATAAAAAGCATTGCAACCTCTGAAGAGCCCACAGCACTACAAAGCCTTCTTAACTGTTCAACTACTGGGCATTGAGTGAAAGCAACTGAAATGCATTTGGAGCGTTTAAATCCTGGGCAATAAGGCATCAAGTTTATTATAGGCCAGGTCTATAAATTAAGATTGCAAGCTCTCTAATTCTTTAATGAAGTTAAATGCTTTCGAGATTAATATGGGAATCAGCTCTGAGTGCTGCTCTCAGTGACTTCTCCAGATGACACTATAAATCACACATAGAAACACCCATGTGCATCTAATACTCAGAGGTAGCTGCTTTGGCACTGAGCAAAAAGTAGTACTGTGAAATCAGAGTACAATTATGCCAGGATGGATTATTGCAGAGTTACCAGTTTGGTTCAAGATGCTTTTGCATAGCAGGAAGTGGGGAACCAATGGCTCTTCAGGTCTGGACTCCAGTGCCCATCAGCTCCATCCAGCATAGCCAATAGTCAGGGTTGATGGAATTTGTAGTCCAGGGCCACTGTGTAGCATTGGCAATTGGCAGGACAGCGTCACCTGCAAGCATCCGACCAAAAAAGTTGGGTGTGTGATGTGGTGGTTCTGTATCCTCTGAGAAATAGACCCTAGGATTAGCTAAAGGGAGTTTTGGATTTGAAGTTCTGTGTGTGATTTCTTTCATGCCTCGCCTTCCTTTTTAGGTGATCCTTTCTTGTGCCAGAAATAAGCCGAAAGAGGGATATACATACACAAGGTGAGAGTAGAAAGAATGCTTCATCGCAAGAAGAAGTCTCAGTGTTCAAACTGTAATTCAGCCATGTGGCTTTTGCTAAATGATGAGACACAAATTTCTAAGAAACAATAAGTTAACTAGCTGTTCCCTTCAGCAGATGTCTACTCAGATGTATTTCCTCTATGGTGCTTATTTCCAGGTAAATGTGCATAGGATTTCAGCCTATGTTGGAACTTTTGAACTATAAGATAATGGACAGAAGTGTTGAAAAAGCAGGAAAGGGGCCGTCAATACCAGCACTAAAGCATGTAGTATCAGCAGAAACATCCGTTGCACTTTATTCTTGTTCAGGCTGTGTAGCAAGTTTAATTTCTCTGTGTTGTTGCAAATGCATATTTTTAAGTTTTAGGTGCACAAAAACATTCAGTACAGTTCTCCTTGAACAGCGGTTCTCAACCTGTGGGTCTCCAGATGTTGTTGGACTACAACTCCCATCATCCCTGAGCTCTGGCCTTGCTAGCTAGGGGTGATGGGAGTTGTAGTTCAACAACATCTGGGGACCCACGGGTTGGGAAAGGCTGTCCTAGAAGCAGTTGGCTGCCGTTTTTCAGCTGTCTTTCAAAAACACAGAATTGCCATGGCCCCAGACCTGGAATCTATGGAAGCAGAGTCCTCCAATGATGTGAGCCTCAAAGAGATGGATCCATTCCTTGGTCCATGTCATGCAGAGCTGCTGTCACCAGAGCCCACACCTCCTCCCCTAAACCTTCAAGAGACCCCTCTGTCATCAGGCTCTGAGGTTGACCCACAGATGACTTAGAGGAGCAAGAGAACCCCGAGATGTCCCCGCAACTTGAAACTCGGGACCTAGAAGAAGCCAATGGCTGCAGAGGAAGGTGGTGGGACTTTTAACCAGTCAGATTCAGGGGGCTGGGTCTCTAGTTAATGAATACGTAAAACAGGCAATAAGGACCTGCCGCTATTCCAGGACACTGATGAGACACTTGTATGCTTTGCCTTAGCTGCAGGATTGCTAACTGTGGTCCTGAAACCCACATCTAGGCTCTTCTCCCAAGGGGCTGATCCTGCTTCACCTCACCTTCCTGTCTGCTTGCAACCATATGAATACTGACCTTCCCCCTTTTGGGGGTCATAACCTCTTTGTGGTGGTAGGCATCCCCATGGATCAGGACAAAAACAATCCTTGGCCCAGCTCTCCAAAACAGTAGGGAAACCTCTGTCTGGACTGTACCATCTGAGACTGCAGGTGGGGGTTCAAACTATTGAATGCTTCCCCTTATCAAAAATAAAAAGACCCCCCCACACACACACAGAAGAATAGGTGATGAAAAGAATAGTTCTCCTCTAACATTCTCCCTTGGGGGCTAATTTTCTATAGGAATGTTTATTATAGAAGGTTTCCATAATGTAGGGATGGAGAATCTGTGGACCTCTAACACCCATTAGCCCTAGCCAGCATGGCCAATGGTCAGGGATGATGAGGGCTAAGGGTACCACAAAATCTAGGGGGCTGCATGCTTCCCATTCCTGCTATAATTGAAGCCTCCACCTCTGGTCTGAATGAGTACAGTCTAGAAAGGCCTATCACCTCATCTGCTACTTGTGAGACAAAGACTTTAATTGTGCCTCCTTTGTACCATATTGTGTGGAGTCATAATTTTGGGTCGTGCTTGATCCTCTGCCCATTTAGTTCAAGACCAAAAAATTTCCACTTGCTTCACCGAGCCAGGATCTGTTCCCAAAGAGCCATCCTGATGTCATTTTGGGCATTGGGCCAAACCCTTAAGAGGTGATGGCTTTGCAGATCATTTGCAGCTTATCAGCACAGTGCCAAAATACTTTGGGAGAAATGGCTAACCTTGCAGCTACTTCTTCAAACAAATTAGATGTGTATAAGCTTGTAGCCCGAGCTTCAAAACCCCAGGATTTTGTTTTATTTTGATCTGGCTACCATCCTCATCCCTTGCCTGTCTCTCTTCTGACAACAATTCTTCAACCAAGCCTGTTTTCGTCCTGAAGACTCACCCAAGTGCCATTCCCTTGGGATGCCGGTGGGCAGAAGATGAATGAATTAATTTTCTTCTTATCCAGGAACGCAGGCCATATGGACCTCCTGAAGTCTGACGTATACTTGCATCTCCAAAGGCAAAAATACTTAATACTTCCTTGCTGTCTGGACAGCTTTTCTTTATTTCCACTGATGAAAGCTAATTAGAAAAACACAGAATTCAAAGAGACCATTTTAGAATCTGCAGCTAAATTGCTTCCCTCCCAATTCCCTGCCTCAAGCTCATTATCTTATTTCCCCCTTAATTTGTTTAGGAAATGTTAGGTTTGCTGGTGCTTCTGTTTGGCCAGTGGGGGAGAGCATTGATCTCTTTTTGTGTAAGTTCCTGAAGTCAGGGGAGTCAGCAAGGAGGCATCTCCAAAGTTCCTGCGTATGTAGAAGTCTCTGACGTCTGTATCGCTGGATCGTGTCTTCCTGCAGGCCTGAACAATGTGTCCCTGCACAACTTAGGACCAGGGTACCTCAGGGATGTCCTGAACCCTTAAATCCCAGCTCAATCACTGAGATCATCTGCAGATGTGTCACTGGTCATTCCCTGAGTTGGTGAGGCTTGTTTGACAACAACGAGAAGCACAGTCTTTGGTGTCATCAGCTCAGTCCTGTAGAATACTCTGCCAACAGAGTTTCAGCAGGCAACTTCTGTGCCAACTTTTAAATGCCTGCTGGAAACTTTCACATTCTTTCGGGCAGGTGCAGGCAATTAAGGACACTTCCTTCCTGTTTTTAACTCTTTTATGGCCTTACTGTATGGTTTTATTGCTGACAGCTGCTTTGATAAATTGCTGTTGTTGTGACACAGTTGTACGCACATATTTAAATAAATAAACAACTAACTTCTAACAAGCCAAATTCTTGTACATTTTGCCTCATGTCCCAAGTCCTACAAATGCTGGAAATGTACTCTCTCTTTTTAAAGAAAGCTGAGAATCTGAGGACCCTGATTCATTCAGGGGAGAACAACACTTGCTGAAGCTCTCGTAGTATCTGATGGGGGAAGTCCTAGCTCTAGACTTCCTGTATCAAACAGAAAGTTGATTTAGGCTTCCCCCAACATTATTGATACCAGGATATGGAAACAACAATTTGAAAGGGGCTTTGAAAGACCCTGTTTGCTTGGTTTGAAACACCACCCTTAGCAAGGAATAACTTGTTTATAGAAAAGAAATTGAAAGCAAGTAGAGATTTTCAGAAATCCAAATGGGATGTCGTGGAATCATAGGGTTGGAACAGATCTGAAAACAAGAGTCTTGGACCATCCACCCCCATATTCCCTGGCCCAGTTCACACAGACCCAGACCACAGTTTTGAGAACAGATACAGTGCAGCAAAGGTACCCGTGGATTCACAGAGACAGAAGTGCAGAGAACAATTACCGGTAGGTTTGTGTAGCCTGTGCTGCTGAATCCTCTAATGAATTGATTCTGTTCTCCCAGGGGAGTACAGGAACTGCAGAAGCAAGAGACCTCGTGCTTTCCCGTAACTTTTGGCAGAGCTTTACCAAACCATTCTTCAAAGAGGAAAGCAAAAGTAAGAGGGGAGGGGGAGAAATAAATCATCCTCCATTTTCTGTGCAGTTCACTTTGCGGTTTTTTGAACGATAGCATGGAATAGGATTGTTGCCCTTTGAAAAAAGGTTAGACGGCTCTTTCTGCTGTGTCTGGCAGTTTGTTTCCCATTGAATTGCAGTGCAGGTGGGCAGTTGTGACCTTTCAATTCAAGCACTTTGCTTACATGTGCACCGAGCGCAGATTTTTGCACATGATAATAGCTTCTGGTGCATCTGCCTTTTCAAGTGGTGTCCTTGACCGGCTAATGTTCTGCAATGGGGATTTTCAGGAAAATGTCGAACTGGGTTCCCCCCTATGCTTATCTGAGCACTTTGCTTCAGGAATTTTTCTGATGCCCTCTTAGAGAGTGATCTAATGTTCGCTTTAGCCTTGCTTAGCAAGCAAAGCTAGAAACTCAAATCTGCCGTTCTTGCCGAATACTGTATTTGCAATTGGCATCCATTCATATTTGCTAATGAGCTTGTGAAACAGAGGGGGGGGGGATCATCCACATTGCTGCTAATGGTGTTTGGAGTTTGGATTTCAAAAACTAGTCCTGGAATCATCAGAGTATCAGACTTTTGAAATTGTGAATATGAACATAAGAGGTATTCGTAACTCAGTTGAATTCCACGAGCAAAGGAATGCAATGCTGCAGCTTAAAAAAATGCTTCGTACATAAGCCGAGTGCGGATCTCTGTAATATTCATTTAGCATCCTCCTTATGCTACTGATGATGTGATACAAGGTGTCCAAACAACCCCCCCCAAAAAAAAAACCTGTTGGGGCCTTGGAAGGGCAGTGACTAATTCTCTGCTTTTCTAGGGCATAGTACCAGACTGGAGATAATTTATATGTACGTTCCTCAGGGCTACTGGATTGAGGCACTACCATAATGGCTTGGGAAGAAACCACAGGTGAGCAGTAGATGTGAAGTTGCCTTAATCTGAGTCAGATAATTGGCTCATCTAGATCAAAGTTGTCTACACAGGCTGGCATAAGCTCTCCAGGGGTTTTGATGGGAGATTTTCCCAGCTGTAACTGGAGATAGCAGATACGGAATCTGGGAACTCTTGTATGAAAAGCATCCACTCCATCATGGAGCTAATATAAATTGGGCCCCCAAGAGCTGCTGGAAAAGACAGACAGGAGTCTCCTCAGTTGGGACTGACAGGTAGGTTGGGTAGCTGGGGTCCATAACCAGCCCATTTTAGAATGAGGCAGGTCCCATTCAGACAGGTCTGGAAAGCAAGGCTTTGAATTCTAAGGAGCAATTCTCCTATTAGGACAGGTCAGACTTGGGAAGCCCTGGCCTGATAATTCTTAAGTCCCCAACAGAATTTCCACGGTTGGAAAGAACACTTGATGTGCTCCCTTATAACAAGAGTGGTCAGTGTTGAACTTCAACTCCCATCAGCCTGCCTCGGTCAGGAATGAGGGGAGTTGTATTCCAGCAATATATAGGGCACTGGGTTGCCTTGTGAGGTTCCCAACAAATCAGAGAGCCAGCCTTGGAAACCAATCACTGCCTTGGGAAGTTCAGTGGAGAGATTTCGGAAGAGCTGATGCTACCAAGGACCTCCTGATTTGATGACTTAGCAACAACTGCTTCTAGGTTTCATGGGCCAGCCCGTCACATCAGTGCGAATTTCTGTGACCTCCTTGAACAGAGGAGGAAAACGGGTCTTTTCACTTTTTAAGTTACGTGGAACAAAATAACCATTTCACCCCGCCACCCTTCGCTGTCTTTCAGGACGATGATTCCTATCACTGAATTCCGCCAGTTCTCTGAGCAGCAGCCAGCCTTCCGGGTGCTGAAGCCGTGGTGGGATGTCTTTACAGACTACCTTTCCGTTGCCATGTTGATGATTGGCGTCTTTGGTTGCACGCTGCAGGTAAACAAAACAGGAATGCAATCTGATGCTGCCAAGGTAGGGCTGGAAAACTGTTCCCAAGTGCTAGCAGAGTTGGTCAGAGTGGAAGACAGATAGTCACAATTTCTATTATTATTATTATTATTATACTACTACTACTACTACCACTACTCCTACTACTACAGTCGTACCTTGGTTGACGAACACCTTTGCGACTCGAATGTTTTGGCTCCCGAACGCCGCAAACCCGAAAGTGAGTGTTCTGGTTTGTGAACGTTATTTGGAACCAGAACATCTGACAGGGCTTCTGTGGCTTCCGATTGCCTGCAGGAGCTTCCTGCAGCCAATCAGAAGCAGCACCTTGATTTCCGAATGTTTTGAAAGTCGAACGGACTTCCGGAATGGATTCCGTTCAACTTCCGAGGTACGACTGTACTACTAATCCTTGGTTAAATAATACAGGAGAGAAACTACTAAATGGAACCCTTTCCATATTTTTTTTAAGTGCTTATAGGTTGGAATCTAATCAATGAACAGAATCCACATGAACATTCTTTAAAAAAAACACCTGCCCACAGTTCTTTTGGCTCCCTGCTGCTAAAATTCACTCCACTTAAAAGTTCTCAAAGTGCACCTGAAAGTTGCAAAACAAAACCTCAGAAGTTGTCGTTTCCCCATCAAGTCAAAACACAAACAATTAAGAAGCTTTGAGCCTGATCCATTTCCTTGCTTGGCGAAACCAAGTTTTTCCTCCCCTCCCTCCACTTTTGTGTGTGATACTTTCTTAAATAGCTTGAATTCTTTGAAGGGAAAAGCAGCACCCATTTCTGCCTCTCTCCCTCTTCTTTCCCCCGTTTCGCAATCTCTGGTCTTATTTTTCTCCTTTGGTTCTGCTTAGAGATGACATGGAAGTGTTTGTTTTATTTCATGCCCCCTAATTAATAAATGTTCCTGAAAGGCAAAATAACGGAAAGTCTTAATGGCTTGCCTGTTAACTAATAACTCATATTAATTCCACAAGGTTTAGCTGAAAGTTTAAACAACCTCAGATTGTCCGGACTTGTTTAGGGTGGTCACTACAACAGTGTCAAAAGTTTTGTAACATTCTGTTGGACTAGAATTATGAGGAAGCCCCCCTTGAACCAGGAAAACTGAACCTCAGGGAGTTGGGAGATGTTCTTCTGAACCATATTAGGCATTACAAGACCAATCCATTCCCCTTGGGGCAACAGCTTGAGGTTTATATTTCTTTTTGCATCTCTCGGTCTTTTCTGGGTTGGATCTACACGGACAGCACAATCCTAACCATGTCTGCTCAGAGAAGTCCTATTGAATTCAAAAAGGCTTAATCCTAGTTAAATGGGATTTCAAGGTCCCATCTGCACTGCCCATCATACCACCTTCAGCAGTCATTGCTTCTTCCAAAGAATCTTGGGAACTGTAGTTTTTATTGATCTTGAGAGTTGTTAGACCCCTATTGCCCCTCAAGGAGCTACAGTTCCCAGGGTTCCTTGGGAAGAGTGACTGGCTGTTAAACCACTCTGGTAATTGCAGCTCTGTGAGGGTAATAGGGCTCTCCTAGCAACTTAGAACCTTAGAGTTGGAAGGGACTCAATGGTCATCTAGTCCAATCCCCAGCAATGCAGGAATCTCAGCTAAAGCATCCATGGCAGATGGCCATTGACCCTTAACAAACTACAGTTAAAGGATAATGGGGGGGGGGCGGGGAGCCATGTTCAAAGTGGTATGAAGCTACTTTAAATGTGTAGTGCAGAAGGGGACTCAAAAGTCAGTGATTTCAATGGGTCTGATCTGATATACCGGTAAGTATTACTAAGTCTGGATCCAGCCCTGTAGTGCCCGTGGTTATCTTACAGTTAATTAAATTAGAGACTGTGCTTAATATTAGCACATAATAATAATAATAATAATAATAATAATAATAATAATAAATTATTTGTACCACACGCTTGGTATCAAAATTATTTATACCACACGCTCGGTATCAAAAACTGGGCTCAGGGTGGCTAACAACAAATTTAAAACAATTGTAAAAGCAGCATAAAATACAGTATAAAAACACGAATAACAATAAATTTCAAAATTCAGAAATCAGTTTAGGGGAAATAAGCATTAGATAATCACCAGGGCTAGCTGGCTGAATTGGTCCTACTTGGGCCAGCGAAGAGGCCAGCGGAGAATTAGCTGTTGGGTCTCAGAGTGGGTAATCTTCATAAAAAGGGAGGGGGAGGGAAGAGAAAGGAAATAAAAGATCAGGCTGAATTCGAATTAAAGGCCAGGCGGAATATCTCTGTCTTACAGGCCCGATGGAAGGAGGTTAAATCCTGAAGGGCTCTAGTCTCATGGGACAGAGCATTCCACCAGGTCAGACCCATCACTGAAAAGGCCCTGGCCCTGGTGGAGGATAGTCTGACTCCCTTAGGGCCCGGAACCTCTAAACTATGGTTATTCATAGACCTTAAGGTCATCTGCGGGGCATACCAGGAGAGGCGGTCCTGTAAATATTAGCACATGACTCCCCCCCCAAAAAAAATAATGGGAATGGTGGTTTCACCCTCACAGCGCTGCAATTCCCAGCAACCTTAACAAACTACAGTTCCCAGTTTCTTTGGGGGAAGCTATGTGCTGTGAATGTGGACCGAATGTGCTTTAAATGTATTTTGTGCACTACCAAATCCTTAAACTATTGCATGAATATACTGAAAATGGATCTTGTTTGGCTATAGAAGCCACCAACCAGTTCTTTTTTGCTGAAGTAAGCACACTCAGAATGTGCAAAGCGAGCGCAGCTCCGGGAAATGGCATGTGAGAATGCAAATATTTGCATTCCTGCATATTGCTATTTTATAAATGCTCTTTCTAGATAGCAAGCTGTGCCTTCAACCGAAGCCAATGAGGATTTTTCCCTCCTGGCATGAATCTGTGATCGCTCAAGTAATGCCAGTAGCCGAGACCAATCCATCATCTGCGGTGTCACTGTTATTGATAACAGTGCTAAATATTTAATTTAGAGGGTAGAATCCTGCGAGGTGTCTGGTTCCCTGTCAGACACATGACAGTTGAAAGCACCCAAGGAGCCTTGAGTACTTTGTAATGGTACATTACAGCCGCATTTTCAGGTTGCGCAGTCCTCGGAAACAGCACCAGACTAATTGTACTGGGGATGGAAAAAGAAATTTGTCATCCGCAGAACTGTGGTCGTATATAAGCACTGATGCGGTGAGTCATCGCTCCACTGTGTTCTGAAAGGAACTGGATGCTCCTCCACATGTGTGGACTTTTTCCTTGGCAAAGCCTTCTCATCTGTCTTGCGCATATTCGCCTTGAAAGGGCTGCGAGCATCCACTCTGTGTGGCAGCGGACAGAACAATTACCACCAGCAGCACAGTAGTGGCAGTGGCATAACGTGGGTTGCCAGCTCCCGGGGCTGTGCGGAGGGTGTGGCAATGGGAGGGAAATGGATAGAGTATGCATGTGCATTCAACTGCCTAACAGCGTTGGCATCACCCAGGAGATCACAGCCGCAGAGAAAAGAAAAGAAGAGGCATTCTGTTGTCACTTTCTGGTTTGCATTTTCAGTGGAGCCAAGCAACGGAAGAGCGCAGCTGTATTGAGGCAGCACCAGGTGTTGACATTTTGCACCCCCTAACAATTTTGTACCTGGGGCAATCACCTCTGTGGGGTCTCCCGTGTTACACCACTGAGAGGTGGTAGATTGTAGCGGTTCCTAATAGCTGTTTGACTTAGAGCAGCCTGCTCCAACTTGGGGCCCTCTGTTTGTTTTGGACTATGGCTTCCTAGATAGCTCAGTTGGTAGAGCATGAGACTCTTAATCTCAGGGCTGTGAGTTCCAGCCCCATGTTGGGCAAAAAGATTTCTGGGTTGCCAGGGATTGAACTAGATGATCCTTGTGGTCTCTTCCAACTCTACTGTTTTGTGATTCCATCAGTGCCAGCCAAGGTGGCTTTGGGTGCTGATTTATTTATTTGATGCATTTATCTCCCACCAGACCTCCAAGCAGCTCAGGTACATGGTCCTCCCCCTCTCCATTTTATCCTCACAACCACCCTGTGAAGTAGGTTAGGCTGAGAGACAGTGACTGGTCCATGGTCACCCTGTGAGCTTCATGGCTGAGTGGGGGCCAGAACCACAACCTCCCAGGTCTTAGTGCAACACTATAATCCAGTGTTTCTCAAGCATGGGTCCCTGGCTGTTGTTGGACTACAACTCCTATCATCCCTGACCACTGGTCCTGCTAGCTGGGGATGATGGGAGTTGTAGTCCAACAACAGCTGGGGACCCATGCATGAGAAACACTACTCTTGACCACAGCACCACACTGGCTCTCATATAACCTGAAAGAAGTGGGGATCATCTAATCTACTACAAAAATCTTGAGGTGGAGTAGACTGAAAATATATTATTTGTAAATATGCAATTAAAAGAAGCACAGTACTGTGAGTTTCTGTGTTCATTCCCATGGCAGCTTGATTCTAGTACCAACAAGTAAGGGACATGTCATTGGTCAAAATATTATGATAGCACTACAGGCCATAAATATGTTGTGTAGACCATTCCCTTATTCTTTGAGATCAAGCCGATTGCGTGCTTTTACTTGAAAGAAAAATGGTACAATTTTTAAAATACTTTTGTTTGTGTGCATTGCAGGTTATGCAGGATAAGATCATATGCCTTCCAAAAAGGGTGCAGCCTCCGCAGACCAATTCTCACCTTCCCAATGTGTCAAATCTAGACTCTGACGCGACTCCATTTCTTCCACCCAAGCCATCCACACCTCCTGCTACTGTTGAAATGAAGGGCCTCAAGACTGACTTGGACCTCCAGCAGTACAGCTTCATCAACCAAATGTGCTACGAGCGTGCCCTGCATTGGTACGCAAAATACTTCCCTTACCTCGTCCTCATCCACACTCTGGTGTTCATGCTGTGTAGCAACTTCTGGTTCAAATTCCCCGGGTCGAGCTCCAAAATCGAACATTTCATCTCCATCCTGGGGAAGTGCTTTGACTCTCCTTGGACCACGAGGGCTTTGTCGGAGGTCTCTGGAGAAGACTCGGAAGAGAAGGACAACAGGAAGAACAACATCAGCAGGTCAAACACAGTCCAACCTAGCGCAGAGGGGACTTTGGTCCAGGCTCAGTCTCTGAGATCCATACCTGAGAAGTTCATTGTGGATAAAGGGACCCCGGGAGCTCTGGATAAAAAGGAAGGAGAACAGGCCAAAGCGTTGTTTGAGAAAGTGAAGAAGTTCCGGCTTCATGTTGAAGAAGGGGACCTGCTCTACGCGATGTACGTTCGTCAAACGGTGCTGAAGGTGATTAAATTTCTTATCATCATTGCCTACAACAGCGCCCTTGTTTCAAAGGTTCAGTTCACTGTAGACTGTGATGTTGACATCCAGGACATGACCGGTTATAAGAACTTTTCTTGCAACCATACGATGGCGCATCTGTTTTCTAAGCTTTCCTTCTGCTATTTGTGCTTTGTAAGCATCTATGGATTTACATGCCTTTACACTTTGTATTGGCTGTTTTACCGCTCGCTCAAAGAATATTCTTTTGAGTATGTCCGGCAAGAGACTGGCATCGACGACATCCCAGATGTCCGCAATGACTTTGCGTTTATGCTACACATGATAGACCAATATGACCCACTTTACTCCAAGAGGTTTGCTGTGTTCCTTTCCGAGGTCAGCGAAAACAAACTGAAACAGCTTAATCTGAACAACGAGTGGACTCCGGAGAAGTTGAGGCAAAGACTGCAGATGAATGCCCACAACCGTTTGGAACTACAGCTCTTTATGCTGTCCGGACTTCCCGACACGGTTTTTGAAATAACAGAGGTTCAAGCGCTGAAATTTGAAATAATTAACAACGTCATGATACCAGCCACCATTGTGCAGTTGGATAATCTCCAGGAGCTCTCATTGTACCAATGTTCAGCAAAGATCCACAGTGCAGCCTTGGCATTCCTGAAAGAAAATCTGAAAGTCTTGAATGTCAAATTTGATGACTTCCGAGAGCTGCCACCTTGGATGTATGGGCTCAGAAATTTGGAAGAGTTGAACTTGATTGGTTCTTTGTGCCATGACATTTCTAAAAATATAACTTTGGAGTCCTTTCGGGAGCTCAAGAACCTGAAAGTTCTGTACATTAAAAGCAACATGTCCAAAATCCCACAGTCTGTGGTTGATGTTTCGAGTCACCTTCTGAAAATGTGCATCCACAACGACGGCACTAAGCTGGTGATGCTCAACAACTTGAAGAAAATGGCCAACTTGACGGAACTAGAGTTGGTGCACTGCGACTTGGAGCGCATTCCCCACGCTGTGTTCAGTCTTGCCAGCCTCCAGGAATTAGACCTGAAGGAAAACAACCTCAAATCAATAGAGGAAATTGTTAGCTTTCAGCATCTTAGGAAACTCACCGTCCTCAAGCTGTGGCACAACAGTATAACCTACATCCCTGAGCACATAAAGAAGCTCTCCAGTCTGGAACGGCTTTCTTTCAGCCACAACAAGATAGAGGTCCTCCCATCCCACCTCTTCCTCTGCAACAAAATTAGATACTTAGACTTGTCTTACAATGACATCCGGTTCATTCCCCCGGAAATTGGGGTGCTGCAAAGTTTACAGTATTTCTCAATCACTTGCAACAAAGTGGAAAGTGTGCCGGACGAGCTCTACTTCTGCAAAAAACTCAAGACGCTGAAGATTGGGAAGAACAACTTGTCCGTTCTCTCGCCTAAGATTGGGAATCTGGTATTGCTGACCTACTTGGACATCAAAGGAAATCACCTGGAATTTCTCCCCCATGAACTTGGTGAATGCAGAGCACTGAAAAGGAGCGGCCTGGTGGTCGAAGACACCTTGTTTGAAACCTTGCCCTTAGATGTCAGGGAGCAGATGAAGGCAGAATAAGCTCAACCCTCTTAGGTCTTTTACAGCAGGGGTGGGGAAACCTTTGGCCCTCCAGGTGTTACAGGATTCCAACTCCCATCAGCCCTAGCCAGCATGGGCACAAATCGTTATGAATACACAAAAAAGCATGTCTGGAAGGGCCTTAAAACCACATAGTCTGGGGTCTCCAACCCCACTTGAATGTGCTTTACAAAATGATGCCCAGGCTACAACAGCCTTCTGGACCCTTTGGACTCCAACTCCCATCATGCCCAGTCAGCATGGCAAGTGGCCAGGCCAGGAATGATGGATTTTGTGGTTCAGCAGCATCTGGAGGGCCACAGGTTTTTCACCCCTGTTTTACAGAAACTCGTCTCTGTCAAATGCCTTGTACATCACGAGCTAGCCTGAATATGCCTTTAAAGTCTATTTTTATTATTTTAGTGGTCCCTTTGTATGGACACTTTTGGACTAGGTTGTATATGTATATATATATATATTTTATATATAAAAATTTTACTTGGTTTTCCTCACCCAACGGTGTTTGTAACTGTTCAAATTTTTATTTTGCCTTGATATGAATGGGTCTGCGTAGTTCTTATTTTGTATCAGTGAAATCAAGTTGCTTGTCTGCCTTAAAAAAGGGGGGGCGCTCTCCAGAAATACGGTCAGTATGTTTCAAGGCATTGAATGAAGGTTACCTATATGAATGTAGATGAATGTACAGTTGTCATAGCAACTCTAAGCCATTTGATTCAGTTTTGTGTACCAGCTTATCCAAGGTTGGGGAACCTGTTGCCCTCCAGGTGTTGCTGAATGACATCTCTCATCATCCCTGACTGATTACTATGTTGTCCGGGATTGATGGGAGTTTGGAGTCAAGCATCATCTAGAGGATCACAGGTTCCCCATCTCTTAAAGCACCAAGTACCCTCTTTCTTCTTCTTTTTTATCCTAGTTGTGGGTAACTGTCATTCCCTGTTCCAGAGGCTTCATTTTGACAATAAAGTAAGTCAATCCTGTTTTGTGGTTGTGGATCGAACCTGTGCCACCATGGCTGGCAAACAGGAGCCTTGTTCCCTTGAAGATTCTAATTTATTAAAATAATGCTTTTGGCTAGGATTCTGCTCTCTGCAGTGGTGCCAAATCTTTGAGTCACCTTTAACATCTTTGGGATTTTCAGCCATGGTCAGAACCCTCTGCTAGAGGTTGTGTTCCAACGAAAGGTTGTACTGTGTATAGTGGAACTTCGGTTTTCAAGCATCTCAGAAGCCGAACATTTCAGAAGCTGAACACCGAAAACCCAGAAGTAATTGTTTCCGTTTTTGAACGTGTCTCAGAAGTCGAACGGATTCCGAGGCGTGTTTTTCAATTTTCTCAATGAAAGTTGCCAATAGCCCTTTGCTGTTGAATGTTTTGGAAGACGAACAGTCTTCCAGAAAAGATTTCATTTGACAACCAAGGTCCCACTGTACTATGTAAATTTTCTCTCCCACCCTAACTTTTTTTTAAAAAAGTGTTGGTTCTCCCCAATGTACATCCAAAGATCTTTGCAAGTCACAATCATGTAGCCAATGAATCAGCCGAAGAATGCTTGTGAATTTCCTATTGTGAATGCTGTTTGCAATTCTCTAAGGACGGATGTACTACGTAGAATATAGATGTCAAATTGATGCCCACTTAATTGCCGTGGCTTACCCCTCAAAGAATCCTGCAAATTATTGTTAGTGGAGATGTTGAGAACTGTAGTAGGGATTTCCCTCGCTTCTTTCATGGAACGACAGTATCTAGGGGTCCCTGAGGAGAGGGAATGATGGTGTTATTGTGAACTGCCTACCATAGAAAGGAGGCAAATACGTAAATTGATTATTATGACATTACCCGTCAAACTGTGAGACAATGTCTGGCTAGAAATGCCCTCATTAGAAAAGTTGTAACCTCTCCAAATGAAGGTTGTGATTGTATTCATGTTTGCCTGGGAGGAAACCACTGAACTCAGCAGAACTCACTTTCACCAAAATATGTCATGCTACAGAGAAAATCTGATTATTTCTGCTTAAATTTTATTGGCATTATAGAGGGGTGGGTGAGTGGAGAATGCAAGATTCAATGTGTTTTTTTGTTGAAGTTAGCTCTCAATCAGATCATAAAACTGGAGGCCTATTTTTAAATAGGTATAAGAACAATTATCCATAATACACAATCACTGCTGCCCAATCCAGGATGAGGCTCTGATCCAGCCAACATTCTCCTCCTCTTTGATTTTCATTCAACTCATTTCATCCTTATCTGTAAACAAGTCAGAGGTTGAAGCGAAACACCGCACGCTCTACGGTTCTGAGGTTCGGCAGATTGTGAGGAAGAAAGCATTCATTGCTAAAAGTACAAATCTAATGTAAACCAAAGCACTGTCACTACTAATTAATGTAAGCCCCTTTAATGTGCCTGCTCCACCAGTGACTTTCTGTGGTCACCTGCTGTAGATTAGAAATCTGAGACTATGGTAAGGCTGGGAGCATTGGGAGAAGAGGCTGTGGCCCTAAACTGTGGTTTGCTCCTACCGCAAGGGCTGGCTTCCAATGGCTGCATATCGCCAATAAAATCTAACAGTGGTAAAGCTGAAGGGTGCTGCTTATATTCACATCCGCACCATACAAACACAACACTCTTATACCACTTGAACTGTCATGGCTTCCCCCAAAGAATCCTGGGAACTGTAGCCCTCCTTAACAAACCATCATTCCCAGAATTCTTTGGAGGATGCCGTGACTGTTCAAGTGACCAGTGTTCAAAACTCCCATTGTTCTAGGCGTATTATGAGACCGGGAATTTCATTAGCGCCAGCAGTTTCTGAGCTCTGGGCGCAGTGCTGCTCCTAAGATTTCCGATTAAAACTGCAGAGTGGAAGGAAAGGAGGACCCTTTTCTGCCTCCCCACTTCCAGCCCCTCTCTGACGACCGGAGAAGAGACCCTCTTAAGAATATTAGGGGTGTGGGCAGCGGAAGGACTAGACCGTGTGGGAAATGAACATAATATTTTAGCCACTGTTCATTCATTTTCAGCTTTGTATTCTTGTTACAAAAAAAGCGCACCTGGACATCCCGTTGTTGTGCCCACAACCTTGGTTTAAGGTGCCATTTAGCTCCTAGCTTTCATTTCTCAGTTTCTAACACTGCAAGTGACACAAGAGTGCTTTGAATGTATGACATAGATGTGACCTGTTTCTTAACCAGAACAAACACAAGTTGCACCAGTGTTTGCGATGTAGGTAATGTGCACTGTATCTACCTGTGAATAAGGGCTGGTTCACACAAACTTTAGTTGGATAAACACACACACACACACACACACACACACAGAGAGAGAGAGTGTGTTGTAATTGAAATTATTCAACCCCCATTGCAGATGTGAGACTGGAGAAGCCAGTATAAGTTGCGTTTTCAACTGACTTTGGGGGAACCACTTGAAGCATCCGTTGTGTTGAGCTATTTCCGCTTTCGTTTGATTTGCTTATTGCAAAGTCTGTAAACCTTGATAATAAACCCAATTTGCAGTTGGGGGTTGAATAATTTCAATTGCACCCACATGCACCCCTACATGGAGGGACATTGGAATAACCACAATTTCTACGACGTTTTCATTAGTATTTTGTTTTGAGATTTGGGCCTGCCATGTTCTTCACATGCTGGGAGGTAAATGCATGAGTTCATTGTGCAGAGAGTGGTTTGTAGCCAATACTAGTCCTGCTCAGTGTAGGCATTTTCATTAACTTCAATGGGCCAACTCTGAGTGGGGCTGGCTTTGGATACAGCCCAGAATCTTGGTCTTGCAGTTGTGTGAACCAGTCCCCAAAACTGCTGCAGTCAGTGAAAGCATTCATTCCAGACTACAGTTCTCTAGTCACTGACTTTGGAGAACTTCCATTAACTTCTCTGGAGTTTCTTCAAAACAAATGATTTAAGGAGTGAGCTTTCTTTAAAAGGCCTCTTCCTCATGTATTGAAAACATTTATTATGGTTAAGAGTGTCTTGCATGTATTTTACAGCACATTCTTTTTCTAAACAGAAGTTGCAGGTGCTCCTGTTAGCGCTAGTTTTTAATGTTTTATAATTGTTTAAAATTATTGGGGATTTTTTTAAATAAAAAATATATTGTCGTGTAATGTCATGAAATAAGCTCAGGTAAATGAATGTTCGACTTCTTATTTATATTTACTCTTTTGGTGTTTGTGCAAATCGTGTGCAAAATCATGTTATCGGGATATATTTGAAAAGTTCTTGCTAAGAAAAAGCCATTTTCCTAATTCTTTCCAAGGTCAGGAAGTTATGTCAACAGAGAAATGCCATATGTATTCCGTCATTTTGCTTCATATATTACAAACATATATCTGCCCATAGTCAACCACATAAAACATTACAGTAAATCATGGTCATCTAGTCTGAATCGATTTTTAATTTGTGGTGGTGTAATTGTTGTAAGGGGTGTTTCGTCCTGAGGGAATGCGAAATGTAGTGGTTTTGAAAAACTGGGGCAACGTAATGAAAACAGTGTGTTGAAATAAGTGCATTGAAACAGTCTGGAATTTGATCTTGATGCTGTTTTCAAAACCGAACCGGAGTCATTATACTGTCAGTTCACCCTCTAAGATTGTGTTCTGTCGTGCTACAGAAGGCACAGTGGGGCAGGGAGATGAAATAAAGTTTGTTCCAAATGTAGCATTTTGAGGCAAACAGTGTTCATTTCACCAAACTGTTTCTTCCGCATGCCTTTATTTCAAAAGTGAGTAGCGTCTCCTGCAGAGCTTTGTTTAAATTCGTGTGTGTGGCACAAAAGGGAAAGGGTGCCTCCATCCTCCTCTAGCCTCTGGCACCCACTGACAGGTGACCCTCAGTAGGGAAAAAAGTTGCCCATTCTTGCTTTGGTTCTTTAACCAAAAGGAGAGCCCCATGGCCAAATGCCTGGGAACTAAAATGCATTGACCATGGATCTTCTAAAGCAAGTGGTGAGAGACAAGAGGATGAAAATGGACACGACAGAAGCAGCCTCCTTTTTTGTTAATGCAAAGTGTTCCCAAATCAAATGGGTGTGGGGGGGGGGGATGAAAGTCTTACTAAAAGCTCTAATGAATGAGACAAATTGCCCATCACTTTCAGTGGATCTTGAGCGGGAGTAGGGCCTGTGTGTGTGTGTTGGCATGCACAAATATTACCGTATTTTTTGCTCTATAAGACTCACTTTTTCCCTCCTAAAAAGTAAAGGGAAATGTGTGTGCATCTTATGGAGCAAATGCAGGCTGCACAGCTATCACAGAAGCGAGAACAGCAAGAGGGATTGCTTCTTTCACTGCGCAGCGATCCCTGTTGCTGTTCTGGCTTCTGAGATTCAGAATTTTTTTTCTTGTTTTCCTCCTCCAAAAACTAGGTACGGTAAATATTTGAACATTTTAATTGTTACTTATTTATTAGATTTGTATACGGCCCTCCATCCGTAGATCTCAGGGCAGTTCAGAATATAAAAACACAAAACACATAATAAAAATAAGAATGGGGAAAAACCCACAAACCGAAACATCACTTTCAACCTTAGTTTTCTCAACATAATTTGGCCCCAAAACGGTGAGCATTAGATTCGAGTAAACGCAGTGCGGGTTATGTGGTTACTGATTTTCATGGAGAGGGGCAAATGTAATTGAATGCTATTTTCTACCAGGATTTAAGTTGCGCCCCTCTGACCTTCTGAACAAGTCCTGCATCCGGTTGACAGTGCATTGTAATGAAACAATGCTCTGACATCATGGAGATGCTTCCAGGCCGAATCTGTTGTTCTTCCACTAAGAATAGCAGTAAGCATTTAGACAGATTTCCTGGATAGCTTGCGTGTTCATGCATTCCTGTCCCTCGCTGACCTTAAAAAACAACTGGGGTGAAAAGCTTCTTGCGTTTTGCAGTGATCCTCCCTTACTCAGCTTGGTAAATGGGCTTCCAAAAGGGTATGTGCCCATTTATCAGTTTGGGCCTTTCACTGTGATCAAAGTATAAGCTCCAGTTCCTTCGTTTACCTCTTAACGAGGCAGCATGCATTAAGAAGCCTCCCAGTGACTGTGGTGGCTGCCAGTCCTCCAA